CTAACTGCAAGCATATAATATTCGCGAAAACTGAATGAAGATATTCATCGTAAATATGCGCTTGTCCTTTTAGCTCTAGGCGAACGGTCTCACGTTTCACCTCAGCGTTTTCCTTTCTTTCCCTGATTTGATGTGTGATTCTGGGCACCTAAAAGCGGGGGACCTTCTCGCTACAGTTTTTTAAAAGATTTCCTATTGCTCTGATATAACAGTCATAATTCAGCAACAAACTCAGATTTGTTTTTCTTACTATATCATCCATTCTTCTACATTTTTGAAATCTAGATTTGCGAAAATATTTGTAATCATCTCAGATTTGAAGACCACTCTAAGCCATTGCTTCAATAGTTCTACTTCGAAATGAAACCATCTTTTCTCTACAATGACATCCATCTCTTTCTTCTACCGTTGTCAATATGTGACGTTTTTTCGACAATGTAAAGTTAATTAATCTATACTGACTGTCGTTTAATACATTAAACAAATGTAACGTTTGTGTAAGTCATTGATATCCTTGCAACTTATCCTCAATTAGGATCAATTTAGGTGTCGACACCCGGTTTGCGTCGACCAATGTCTGCTTGGGAGCGGATGATGGTAGACCGAGCTAGGGAGCAAATGAGTCGGCAGCGTCGGCCTCCAATAAACGGTAGGTATACTTTCCTAGGTATTTTAATCATGTATCAAAATAATGGAAGTCATACCACTATCATGAGTCTACGATTGGTACAAGTCTAAATTGACATCTCAGCAATTTCTTTTTCGCTTTTACCATGAGTGCTACCAAAAACCCTCGCTCTGTTGTTCAAAGTTTGACGTTGAGTATGATTTAGGTTCTTCGGCCATTGTCGAAGCCGTATTAAACGAGGACATCATTCGGTTTTGCGGAGAAAATGTTCTAGTATTTTCTTCGCTTGAGCGGTTACCACTCAAAGTCACCGACTATGATCCCAACAAAGTAACGGTAAGTACCCCTTGGTAGTTTAGCCTTGCTGAACCTATATTGTTCAAATTATAGAGCAAGTTCGACTTACCAAAACGACAAGAAGAGAAAAGTCTGCTAATTGATGCATCGAAAGCTGCTCCGAACATGAAGAGTCGCCTTCGTTCGCCATCAACAGATATGAGGTTGTGTCTTTTTGGGACTTATTACGAATTCAATAAACTTTTTTAGAGGAGTTTATTCGTTGAATTTGTTGCCTTGATTTTTGCATATTTATGTAATTGAATTGCAGATCTCGCTCAAAAAACGGACTCGCCCGCAACGCGCTTGCCAAATCCATCAATCCCACTCCTTCCGCAGTGCTATATCCAAAAGCTCGCGGTCTTGTCGGCAAGTAGCACCGATTTTGGTCCCAAATGAAACACCTTATCTCGTCAAATTCACACCTCCATTGTATTTTATCCCAAGTTCTGCACCCAAACATATTGACGTGGTGGAAGCTTTTCGGACATGTGTAAAGGTGTGTTTATTTTCTAGCATTGTGAGTCTAAGTTACAGAGGAGCAAAATATTATTCGTCGCTTTTAATTCTCTTTTCTTTAAAGTGTTTTACAGCCAACTGCCAACTGTCTCAGCGTACCACGCACCTCTTCAGCTTCTGAGTCTTCTGAATCAGAGGGTATTTGCGCCGATTACCTTAGCAGAGTGGGTTACATTTTCGCTTTTTTTT